GAATGATGAGCTAACAAGAAGGCATGGCTGGAATTTTTCAATATTTATTTAAAAAAAAGTTTGTTATATTTCCTCTTTTTTTGTCTTTTTTTATTTTGTTGATACCTGAGAGAATCCTTCAATAGCTTTCCTTTCCAGTCTCATTTAAAACAGCTGTGGTATGGACATCATCCCCGCTCTCTGCTCACACTCTCATGGCTGGGTGCATTTTACACATGAGCACTTGTTCATATTCACAAACACAGTCTAATCAAATGAAGATACTCACATTCAAAGGAAACAGAGAAAATGAGGGCTTTGACATCACAGTGGTGAGGGCAATCAAACTCAAATGTTCAAAAATAGCATGCTTCTTGATTTCTTTCGTTCATTTAGGGTTTTGCATACTGTGTTAAAGCCGAAGTGTGCGATTTCTGTGCCACTAGTGTCTTTAAATGGAACTGCAGGTTTCCAAAACACCCCCCTCTTCTGCTATTGGCTAGATAAAACTGATAGCCCTGCCTCAAACTCACACGATTGGTTGAGCTGTTGCCAGGCCAGTGAAATGTTCTGATAGTGCCTCAGAGACAAGTATGTATCAGCCTAGAAATGGCTTATAGTAATCTCTGTGTAGTAATCAAGTACTTTAACATATAAAGTAGTTGATTTTGCATATTAAGAAAAACAAATGACACACTTCAGCTTTAAAACTGACTTGAGTTTGGTCTGAGATTCAGTATCACAGCTGAGAGAGGAAAGAATTTCAACTCAAAAACATTTTTTTGGTTGACAAAAGAATATTGCTGTTTCTACAAAACTAATTTTAATTCCGAACTTATGAAATGCCGTTTTGTTTCTAACAGGTAGTACCAATCCACCGAACCATGAGAGCATTCGACGCAAACACATACATAGAAACACAAATGCAGTCCCTCGACAGCAGATGACATCATCGGAGATGAGTGGAAAGTTGAACTAGCGCCCTCAAATGTTTGTAAGGTTTGACAAAGCAGGTCTCAGGCAGCAGTTAGGGCTATCCTTCCCTTGACTTTTACACTGACTGATGAACAGACAAACTGACTGAGGCTCATGCAGTTGCGGTGGGTGGGACTCTGGGAGGGGAGGTGTTTAGAGGTATGTCTGCTAATCAGGGATCATTAACACAGTCATCATGCTATCAGAGGGTTTAGCATTGCATAGACATTCTTGCTTCTGGGCGTTTTCTGTCATTCTCTAAAGAAAAAAAAAAAAGATAACACAACATTTGGTAAAAAGGGGCAAGAAACAAAACTCCACCACCACCAAACCAAAACAAAACCAGTATCTACTGTTCTCCTCTGAGGAAACTGATTGGCAGTAGCGAGGCCAGCTAAGTGCTTCTGGGTACCAGACATTACCCACCTACTGTATGTCTCTACCAGCAATCTGACCTAGCGAACAAATGTACGTCTAGCTACCCTGTCGGAAAGAACGGTTTGAGTGTGGGGCAGAGGGTTGCGGAGGCACAGGGTTGGATTGTTAATTTCATGGGGCACTTCTTCTTCATATTTGTATTGAACATGCACGTTTGTGAGTGCACAAAAGCACACGTACAGATGTGTGAAGCATTTACAGAGCTACGTAAGCAGATTTACGTTACAAAAATGGCGTGATCAGCCGGCTGCGTTCTGGCCTCGACATCCAGTATGTGACGGTTGCATATGGTTAACACATAGTGATTTAATCTTTCAATATCTTTTCGTTTTGTATTTACATCCTTGGTTATGGCCAAAAAACTTACAAAGTACAAAAAAGAAAAACAAAACAAAACACAAGTATTGCACCTTGAAGGCGGGCAATATACTTTTAGTAAGCTGTTTGTGTAACATCATTTTGACAGCACTGTCCACTCTTGCTGGTGACCTGAAGTGAGGTTCTAGTTCCCGGGCTCGGTTCCAGCCCAGTCCTGTCAGCTACATTCAATACCACGAAGCGCTCACTGCTGTCACGGATGCACACGACTCCCTTTCCAGCCTTCCAGCCACACCGCATCCCGTCCGCTCCCATCACGGCCCGTCGCATCAGCGCTGGTGACACCGTTAGCAAACGGAGGCTAATGCACGCAACTGGTGCAAATCTAAAACAGATGGGCTCTCGAGGCCGAAGGAGGAGGCCGTGTGCTTCCGCGATCACATGAACGCTCATGCGCACATACACCCCATCGTACAGTTCAACACATGCACCGGACGCATTTTGACACAAGTGCCACACAGATAAGCACTCCTCCCAAGTTCATTTAAGCTTTGTGTTGTGTGAGGTATGAGTAGATTGTGTTTCAGTTTTTTTTTCAGTTTCTGTTGCATTATTTCTCATGTTTTTTTCATAAAAAAAGAAAACAAAATATAAAAAAGAAAATATTCCTGTTTCTTGTTGTAAATTCCTCTTGATAAAAAGACGAAGGACAGATACACAAACAACCAGAGCAGTCGACTTATCATTACAAACTATAGTGAGGTGAAAAAGAGGAGTAATTTTCTCTAGTTTACACTGCACGCATGGTCAAAAAGTGACTACGGCTGTTGTTTTTCTCTCTTACATAGAGCAGTTAAGCATTGAAAACGAACACACACATTTCAGTTCAAAACAAAAAGAAAGAAACGAACAGCTCAAGCTCCGAGATTTGAACTCTTTGTTCTGGAGTCATTTTTTAAATTTGTTTTCTGGGTTTGTAATTCTTTTATCATTTCTTATTCTATCTCTCTCAAATAAAATTAAAAGGTAAAGCAGCATCGAAACCCTTGCGTTCACTCGATCAGCCAATTGGTGTCCACCTGCTGCGTCACTCCTATTCCAAGATGGAACTCCATGCAGGGTGTTTACGGAATGCTCACAGTTCCCCTCGTTCTTCCTTCACAACCTCATTATAGAGCAACTCCTCATCCTGGCTCTTTCATTCTGCTGCTCCTCGTTCACAGTGCTGCCATTCTTTGCATGGCTTGACTGCTCCTTTGTTTCACAAAGGAAAGGCCCATTTCAGTTGGGTGTTTGACTCAAGCCACTTCTGACACAGAGGTCTATTCGTGAATGAGTGTTTCGTCATTTGTTGAGGACGTTGCTTGACATAATACTGACTCTGAGGGTGTGCTCAGGAGCACATGAAGGTGTGGCCTCTGTTTGACAGAGAGGTTGGGGTCATGTCCTTGGAAAACATGCGACTGAGCTGGAGGAGCTGGAGGGTGGGACCCATCATGCCTTAGTGCAAAAACTCCTTAAAAGGTGCCAGGGGTTGAATCGTTTCCGAATTTTTGGTTCTTTCAAAACTAAGTGCTATCATTCAACTGTTAGCTTCCCCACATCCCCTGCCCCACCATGAAGAAACCAGCCAACTCCTAGCTCCACTTTGCAAATTACTGCTTGGTATTGAAAAAAGGAAACAGCGATAGACCCAATCGGTTCAGGCCTGGCCACCTCAGGTCCTTCATCTGAAGTCAGCGGGATGTATGGTTCAGTTTGCCGTCTGCTAAAAACTAGCTTCCGTTTTGACGGAAATCGAAGTGACACTTGGTCCCACACGAAAAAAAAAAATTCCAGAATAGTTTTTTCTCTCAGCCCAGAGTGAAGAGACCTCAGAGAAATCTGACAGGCTACGATGAGGAATGGCAGGCCCTCCTGTCTACAGTGGTATTTCAACGTAACTGAGAAGAAACTGTGTTTGCGAGTTTTTCTATCCTGGCTGTTAGTGTGTGAGAATACAAGTGTGTGTAGGTGTGTGTAAATGTGTGTGTGTGGCTGAGGGTAGCTGCCCTGTGTCCAGAGGTGAGGTAGAACCTGTCAGCACAGAGGCAGTCTAGGAGCCACAGCCAGCCGGAGGTGTGCCCACATTTGAGGTAAAATAAAATCAACAAAGAAAAAACATCAGCAACAGCCAGTCCACCATGGCCCGTCAGGAGTGTGCGTGTGTGTTCGCACAGACCGGGCAACAGTAGCATCTGAGCGGAACACAGATGGGCTGGACTGAACTCTCAAAGCCCTGCATGGGAGTCCAGAACTACAGCACTGCAGTGCATACAGTAAAAATGAGGCATTCGAGTTTTGAGGTGTTTGTTTTAGTACGTTTGTGTGTGTGTGATGGGTCTGGGAGTACGGTAATACTGGCTCCCTCCCAACACCTGTAAAACACACAAATCAGTGCGGATTGGAGGTGTAGGGGCGCCTGGATTTCCATCTCTCTGCATGACTTTCCTGGGACAAAGAGGGGCTCAATGAGTCCACAAATAAGCCCAGACAATGGCAAGAATGAACCGCACACAAAGTCGCAGAGTGGCACCCCTGAATGAGCACTAAAATGGCGACCGAGAGCTTTCAACGGTCCGTGTCCTACTGAGTAGGGAGGGAGATATATTCTCGAAAAGTCCCAAATCATTTTGAGTAGCTTTATTTAAATATAGCACCTGATTTGGTTCAAAAAAATTCCTCCCGCTCCACACACAGGCTCAATTTCGAAGAGAATCATGTGGTCTGTTAAAGAAGATCCATGTTAGCGCGGCGCTTGAGATACCGACGGTCAATCTCACGAGAACGCTGAGATTTCAATCAACGAAATGAACTGACCACTTCACGACCTGGCGGAGGAATCTATATGCCAGCTGCCATCCAGTCTTAGCAGAGGGCACCTCCAGTGGTGGCGTGACAGTAGTGCAGTCTGTACGTGTACAAATGCATACAAGCTCATTGGAGGATTTGAGTCGCATGAGTCATGCATCTGTAAGCACACTTACAGAAGTGTGTGTGTGTGTGTAGATGTATATTCTGTGTCTAAGGTGTTGGTAAACCAGTATAAGACATCATGCCAAGACAGAAGGGCCACATGTGGGGAATTTAGTGGATGAGGGAGGGCTGATTTTTCTGAGAAAAGCAAAAAATAAAAAATAAACTCCCCATATGAAAGCCTTTCTGAGGATGACCCCTGCCATTTCAGCTGCTGCTGGTGAGTTTGGTGCGTGGAGGGGGGTGAGACGGGTAGAGGAAAACGGGTTAAAAAAAAAAGTTGACGACTCAAACCCCCCATATGAAAGCCTTGATGACCCCTGCCAATGCAGCTGCTGCTGGTGAGTTTGGTGCGTGGAGGGGGGTGAGACGGGTAGAGGAAAACGGGTTACAAAATGTTGTTGATTCTCCTGCTGCGGCTCGCTGGGACGTCACACGTCCTGATCCTCGAAGACCTCCAGGAAAAGTGGGGGGAAGAGTTCAGTGGGGCATTCCACCTTCATGTGCAGGAAGCGGCTGGCGTGGCAGGCTCCGATCATGCGCAGGTCCGTCACCTTCATCAGCAGCTTGGGCCAGAAATGAGGAATGTTGTGCTTGCGATAGTTGATGTAGTGTTCGAAGGCTAGAAGGTACATCTCCTGGCACTTCTCAATCTTCTCCACACATGTCAAGCCTGTTCGATCTGAAGAGACGAACCAGAGAAGATGCAAGGACAATACTTATTATGTGACCATTACAAGATTGTAGCAAAATACATTATTTCAAAAACCATCTAATTAGGTTTTACACATAACGAAGGTGAAATACCTCTCAACAACTATAATATTTATCAAACACCATGTTCTAAAACCTACTATGCTGCCTTAAAAATCAGCAATCCTGGGCATCAAATGAACACTCCAGATGTGAAGTATTTCCACATTTACTACACAGTGTTTGAAAAAAGCCAAGAACCAAATCAACCAGGTCTGAGATGAATCACAACATTATAAACTGATTTGTAGCAAAAAGTATCAGAAAATCAGCAAAAAGAGACAGATCCAAGACTTTTACATCTGTATGGTTTTAGGTTGGATAGTGCAGTTTTGAAGCACCATTTGCATCTACTTGCGCAGACTTGAGCTTTCTTGTACTCCTCATCACTATTTTACAGAATTAATGCAACAATTAAAACAAGAATAAATTAAAAAATAGGCGTTTAATGTTTAGGCTAATAGTAAGAGACGTACATTTTAGACACACTATTGTCAAAATCGACTGTTTTTGCTTATTTCATCAATGAAAATAGTTCCTGACATATATATGTCTGAAACTATTTTCATTTATGAAATATATATAATCTTTATTAAAAAAAATCTCTATGGAGAATAAGATTTATTTTATATATATACCAGTTTTACACTCTTAACGGTTCCTGTGGCCTGTTTTGACATTTTTATGTTGCTCATCAGGTGATTTTTCTCTTGCTTTGATCCTCAACTACTTGCTTTTGTTCCCCTCTTGTAAGTCGCTTTGGATAAAAGCTTCTGCTAAATGTGTAAATGTAAATTTCCAGAACCCAGCTCTTGCTCTATTGGGGTTCATTGGATTCTCTTGCACGCTTCATCTGAGGAATGCTGTTTTTGTCATGTAGTTATTATTAACAGAGATGCTGCCTAAATATACATTCTATTTCAAGTTAGTGTGGTGGCTTCTGCCGCTTCTTGTGAGAAATCAGTCTCGAAGTCTTGAGGTTTCGATGCCAGAATAGAAACTTTTTTTTTTATCAGAGATAATGAAGCCGAGAGACTCTGCAGAGAATCTGGCCCATCTGTCTTTGCATACTCTTATATAGGTTTCATAAACAATACATATAATTTAAGCCACTATTGCTTATTAACTTTTGACCCCAGTCTAAATCTCCTCATGACAGCATAATAGTAACACAAAGAGGTCTCCGTTCATCACGTCAACACAAGATCATCATATGTTTTCTCTTAATGGCAGCTCATCACACACAGTTAAATACATGACTATACATGACATGTTATATTCACATTGATTATAATGTAATGTGTCCTCTCTCACCTGAGCTCATAAGCAGTACGGCCTGCAGTAGGGCCACCTCTGTGTCATCCAGGTTGAACTGTGCCAGACTCTTGCCTAAGTCAAAGATGGCATCAGACACAACGCCCAGCCCTCCGTTCTTTAGCTGCTCTCGTTTGACAGCCATCTCTCCATTCAGGGTCAAGGTCTCGCTTTCCGGGTCATACCGAACTGCAGCACGTAGGGACATAATCTCCATACAGCAGCCCTTCAGCAAGATGATCTGATCCTCACAAGGCAGCTACAGAAATTAGAAATCACACGATATTTATTTCACCTAATGGCATAAAATCTGCTGTGGCATCATCCTGAGTTCTTGAAAAACACTCCTTGAACACATTTCAAATATTATTATTACGGTTGTAAATTGTTTCAAATATTACACTATTTCATGTTTTTTTTCAGTCTGAATGAATTCAGATTTTTTTGTTATGATGAAAAAACCCCAAAATACATTGCCAGTATGGATTTCAGTATTGACACTCAAAATAAAATAATTAAATTAATAGTAAATTATTAAAAATAATTACATAATATGACAACAACAAATTACGGTGTATTTTAATAGTGGGTGCTATGTCACAATTATTAAGCTTCAAATTAAATGAAAATAATGAAATATATTTTAAATTATATAAATATATATTAAAATATTTTAATAATAACATTATAAGGACTGTTTTAATAAGGTCTGTTGTGTGTATAATCTTTCAAAGTTTTTTCATTTCTGACCACTCTTTAATATTTACACAGCACAGAACGAAGTATAATGTATACTAAAGTATAAAGTCAAATGAAATAAATGCATTTTTAAAAAATTACAGTGTCTTACAAATTTACTTAAAGGGGTCATATGATGCTGCTAAAAAGAACATTATTTTGTGTATTTGGTGTAATGAAATGTGTTTATGCGGTTTAAAGTTTAAAAAACACATTATTTTCCACATACTGTACAGCGTGAGCTGAGGCCGGGCTAGAGTCAGCAGAGGCAGCGGGGTCGAGAACGGCGAGAACGGCGCGCCCGGCGGATCCGACGAACGAGCGGCAACCACACGTGACGACCCCGGCCTGGACTCCGCTTCGTCCACGGTGAAAGCCGCATTCATGCGATAACTTTGACAGTCTTAATTACATATTGGCAAAGAATGATGACCCAAGCACTGAAAGGAACTGAAGAGAGAGAAAAAAAATGTAGGTAAAATGGCAGCAGAGTGAAGTAATATTTACACTGATGCATAAAACGTTTCACATCATTTACAACAGCAACAAAAAGTCAAGTATTGCTCAGTATTACGTTTTTGTTTTACAGTCTGTCTAGGTGCTTGTGGATAATACAGGAGGCATAACGCTCAACTTAGAGAGACAGAGAGGTTGTGAATGCGTGTGGATGGCAGGGTGAATTTATGGTGTAGACAATAATAAATTTGTTGCCATAAGGGTGCTGTGTAGTCTGCTATGCAAGAATGTTCACACTTGCGGTTAAAGGAGAGTTGGTGAATGCTGAATATGGAGAGAATGCCACTATAGCTATGACTGATGTAATGTGGCAATATCACACACGCATTCACCAAAGCCACAACTGTACAATTCATCCTAGCATGATAGATAGCACATACATACAAACCCACCCACACTGACATATTCCTGAAATATGTGTTAGCTGAATAATTTGGCAACTATTCAAAATAACACAAAAAGGGCCGCAGCATATTTTCTGCTAATTAGGCCAATGGACACTAATGTACTCTAATTACAAGGCTTAATTTGACAATCTAATCACTACAGAACACAAACACCTGGGTGTAAACACAGGGTGTAAAAATAACAAAAATAGCACACTTACCTCCGAAAACATGGGCAGTTTTTTGGCAAAGTCAACAACACGTGTGATGGCTGGGGTGATGATCTTGGTAAACTCGCTGAAGGCCTCCAAATCCACTTTGTCCCCATCTGATGTGAGGGCCACCGGAGACTGTCCGATGTCCTCCGGCTGCAGACACAGACAAAGAGTTAACTGTGACTGCAACCTTTGGCTTTTGTAACAGGCAACAATGTATTTCCACTGAAGAATATATGAATGGACAGATACAGCGAACGAGATGCATGTGTGGGGTCTGGCTTTCCAGTTATGTAGGCTGATAGCCTTGGAAAACCACAGCGTTTGGTATCCTCAGGGTGGATTAGAGGTCAGCCATGTAAAAACTCTGGACAAACAGCCAAGTAGCCCTGGCATCTGGAGCTACATTCTATGTATGCAGTAAGAGGCATGTAACATGAGTCAGAATAAAGGTAATTATAAGTACTCAAAAGGCAGAGCTGCAATTACAGCATTACATGCTGGCCGTTGCATATATATTTTTTGAATGCGAGACATGGCTATAACTCATGGACGGCATATCTGCAGTCTGTTTCTGCTGCAATCAACACTAGAAGTAGAACAACAATAGAAGACATTTACATTCTTAGGAATTAAATAAGCAAAAGAGAAAGTGATTAAATAATATATTCAATTATACATATACACATCACATTAATTAGTTATGAAAAAATAACGCGATTAAAATATTTTAAAGCAGCTAACGCACTGGCCCTGCCCCCAGGCCTTTTCGTCATCTTACATTTCATACAGTTGACTGTTGACTAATATGATGCAGGGTAATAACTTCATAAATGCAGTTATGCCCTAAAATTCAAGATACTGGGGAAAAAAATGTCCCTGTATAGAGTTTTTGTCTTATATTTATATCTCATGATAAGCGATATCACAAGAGCAGCAAGAACAATATCACACTTTATGTCCGAATACCACGAGTGGAAATGCGATTTTATTAATTTCTATAATTTCTTTCCCAAAAAAATAAAAATTATACTGAATGGAATAGTGTATAATGTTACAAAAGCTTTTTATTTCAGATAAATGCTGATCTTTGGATCTTTCTATTCATCAAAGAATCCTGAAAAAAAAAATGTACTCAACTGTTTTAAATATTGATAATCAGCAAATCAGCATATTAGAATGATTTCTGAAGGATCATGTGACACTGAAGACTGGAGTAATGATGCTGAAAATTTACCTATCACAGGAATAAATGACATTTTAAAATATATTTTAAAAAAAAGCAATTTTAAATAGTAAAAATATTTCAACATTTTACTGTTTTTGCTGTACTTTGGATCAAATAAATGCAGCCTTGGTGAGCAGAAGAGAATTCTTAAAAAAAATAAAAAAAAAACATTAAAAATCTTACTGTTCAAAAACTTTTGACTGGTAGTGTAGGCTGATTATTCTTATAGATTGAAACAAATGTGCTTCAGCCAGAAAAAAAGGGTATGAAAAGTGCTCCGAGTGGCTGCAGAAAACAAAAAAATTGAACAACAACAGAAACTTGAAATGTTGCTGGAGACGGGCTTATTTGAAATGCAAACTCATTCTCTGCCAGCAGGGGGCGCTTTTAGAGTGATAAAACTAGCTGTTTCTCCAGTAATGGCTGTAATCAAAGCAGCTCCGCTCATGAACGCTTCTTTATCAGATCAAATGAAAATGCCATCGAAACTTTTCTGAAGACAGTCAATTCCCTTCAGAGATACATTCATATAAAACACCCGCGCCGTGTTTTGATTTTGAAACGTGCAGTGCTCATGTTTATTCAACGAAATCAAACGGCACAAATAAATCAATGTATGGGAAACTGGTAATGTATATCGAAATATCGAAAATGTGTTTAAAAATCATATCACCGTTATTGAAAAAATTATATCACGATACATATTGATATTGAATTATTGTCCAGCCCTATTTTATGCAAAAGTTCAATAAATAAGAAGTTAATATCGTGTTGTATTTTAAACACAATATTGTCTGTTTTTGCTCAATTTCGCAGAAAAAATATTACCTTTAAAGCCATAGCAGAATTGTTGTGCGTCACCAAGCAACACAGCGGTGATTTGTTTCTTTTTGAATGAATCTGCGTTTTGAACGAATCGTGTGAACCAATGATTCAATAGCCTATTCATAAAATGAGCCGTTTACTTCATTCCTGAATGAATCAGCCGTTTGAACAAATCGAATGAATGAATGACTCAAAAACACATTTAGCGCCACCTGCTGGCAGTTTTATATTCTTATTTAGAGTATCATTTAATAAAATAAAAAAAACAGTCTGATGCAATCAGATGTTCCAGTTAAACTAAGTATATCAGGATTCAGATATCTTGGCATCAATATTACTAGATCTTTTCCCTCACTTCTAGCTGCTAATTTTCTTCCTTTGTTGGAGCAATCTAAGTCTGATTTTCAGAGATGGAGCAGTTTACCCTTATCATTGATTGGTCGTATTAATGTAGTGAAAATGAATGTTTTGCCCAAGTTTCTTTTTGTTTTTCAGTGTGTTCCTTTGTATCTACCTAAGCATTTTTTTCAAATCTCTCGATCAGATTATTACTCACTTTTGTGGGTTAGTAAAGCTCCCAGAATTCGAAAATCATTGCTTCATAGATGTCAGCTGAGTGGTGAGCTTTCTTTACCCAATTTTATGTTTTACTACTGGTCAGTGAATATTCATAAGTTAACATTTAGGTTCAGTTCGTCCACTGCACCTCGGTGCAGATTGGAGGCCAACTCGTGTACATCAACTTCTCTGTTGGCTTTGCTTACTTCTCCTCTGTCTTTCAATGTCTCCTCTTCTTCCCTAATGCACAGTCCAGTAGTTGTAGCTACAGTTCGGATCTGGTGTCAATTCAGACAACACTTTAAATTTATTTCTGCTTCAACATTAATGCCGTTACTGGAGAATCATATGTTTGCCTTGTCTCTTACTGATCTTATTTTTAAGCAATGGCATGCAAAAGGTCCAAGACGTTTTCAAGACCTGTATAGAGATGGCACCTTTTGTAGTTATGTACAGCTTTTCTCTGAAATGGGGTTGTCAGAATCTCATTTCTTTCAATTCTTGCAGGCTAGACATTGCTCTGCTACATTATTTCCTGGTTATCCATCTCTGCCCCAGGTACAGGTATGGGAAGAGTTACTGCAAATTAATCCTCAACACAAGTCACAAATTTCTAAAATCTATGGCTGTATTTTAAGCTTAGATGATTATTCACTTACTAAAATTAAAAAAGCATGGGAGTGTGAGTTGGGAGAAAGTATTGAAGAAGAATGGTGGCTAGGTGCGCTGAGCCTTCAACTACATCTCAATGGCTTGTGGATTCCATGTTTTTTGTTAAATTGGAAAATGTTAGATGTTCTGAACATTATTATTTTTGTTTCCATTTTATTTTTCTGTTCATTTTTGTAAGAAAAAAGGATAACAATATGTAACCATCTGTTCTGTAATAGTGACTGTTTTACAATAAAAAGTTTGAACCTAACAACCAAACAAACATTAATGGGATCGTTCACCCAAAAAATGTAATTTTGTCATCAATTACCTCATGTCGTTTCAAACCTGTATGACTTTCCTTTGCACAACACAAAAGAAGGTATTTTGAAGATGGTTGGTAACTGGTTTCTCATATTATCATCTTTTATGTTCCAGTGTTTATTTTAGGCCGTTGTAGCCTAAACGTTTTTGTAATAAATTTTATGTTGAATCAAATAAAATATTTCTTTCAAAAGCTACTATTTGTAATTTCTACTATTCTTTCTCATTTAACACAATAATGGCTTTAAATTATATTTCGTGGGTAATTTCACAGCCAAATTTAATTTGCGATTAATTAGATTAATTAATCGACACATCATGTTATCGAATGTTAATTAATTAGATAAAAAAAAATTATAATTTTGATATTAAAACAATTCACAATATTACTGTTCTACTGTATTTTCAAATATAAATGCAGCATAAGACTTTTTTTTTTAAACAAACATTTAATAATTGTACCAACCCTAAATATATTACTAGAATTATATATTACTAAATGTTATATATATATATATTTTTTTATCAAAATGGTAAGTAATTTTGTAATGTCACAACCAGCATGTGTGTGGATAAACAACCCCATCTAAAAATGTAAATTTTAAAACATATCCATGTGGTGGACGTCACCCCTTGCGGCACAAATGCGACAGTCCCTAAAGACTTCAAACTGTGCAATCACATTGATTTCTTTGTTTCTGATAAAGCAAACAGACAGCAATAAACAACGGCACTGAAATCAAGACAAGACTGCAGAAAAAAAGTACAGTGCTGGCTCACAAACAAACGCTATTCTGTTTCATTGTGAGGCTGTGAGAGCAAAAGGTTCAGGACACTTCATCTGTTACAGACAAGCTGATTACACCCATCAATATTACCTAAATTCGCCCTATAGCTGATAGGAAGACTTCATGTAAAGTATACACATCAGAAATGACAGCGCAGACCTCACAGAGAGGTAAATAAAACACAAAGGAATCTGTTCAGGGTTTCAGAATGTGCCTCTGAGGAACTTCTGCCGGCCGTTTGTGTGTTTGTGTTTATATGCGCTGTCTCAGACGAAAAGGACTGTTTTAACTGTGCCGCACTGGTGTATTTGTGTAAGTTTTAACAAGCATGAACCAAAGTGTGTGTGTGTGTGTGTGTGTGTGTGTCTCTTCCTTCAGGAGGTGGGGGTAGCGCTGGATACGTCCCAACGCAGCCTTTGCCTGTAAGACCCCAGTGTAAACTATCCCCTCTGCTGGTCCACCCTGGCCTTTTCACTGCTGAGAACTTGGCACTGCGCTTTCTCACTACAGAGATCTTAAGACAGCCCAGTTGGACTACCGACAGGACGGAGTGAGTGTTCCCATGGAGAGACAGACTGCAGTTTATCGGGGTCATTCGGGGTCTTGGCCTTGCACTGTTATTGGAGGCATATCTTGGTAGTAAAGGTTATATAGGCTGAATTCTTTATGGGCCGTTTTATAGGAGTTCTCAGCCGGCTGGGGAAGTGGTTTCTCTGTCCCCCGTGGCTGATCGTCACAGGGTCTAGCACAAGCCGAATGTTTAGATTGGTGTGCGTCAGGGCTTCGATAGTGCTCGTAACCGCTGGGAAGGCAGCGGGTGTTTGGTGGGCTGAGAAAACCAACTTTGGTTCTACAATGTAGAATTTCCAAATCAGCCCTTCTGCTGGGATATTGTGCATATGCTCGCTTGAATGTTTGTAAGAAGAAGATTTCGAAGAACTGATTTTGTTCTTGCAATGAAAGTAAATGGGTTCCAAATCAACACTGGACCCCATTTAAAAAAAAAAACAGAGAGACAGAAGAAAAACGTTTGGAAAGATATGTGTGAGAAAATTCCAACAGATTTATTTATTTTCTTTCTCTTAAAGATCTTTCAGATCTTTCAGAAGTCTTTCAGATATCCATAGCCTGTGTTTCTGTGTGTCTCTTTTATTCCATTTTCTCTTCCTTTATCCTGCCACTATTCACAGTGGGTGGTATATTGTCTGAGCGAATGAGCGATTAATATTGTCTAAACTCTCTTTCCTTCCTTCTTCATAAACAGAGGCGATTTTACAAAGGCCCTGCATGGCAACTCTGCATTCCTGTTATACCCGTGACTAACAGTTGCTTTAACGCTCGCTGTTGTCACAACTGATATGTGCGGACTGGTATTGTCACTCATTACATTGATTAGCAAGCTGTGTAAACAAATGCTAATCCGTAATGACAGAAAAGGCCATAGCAATGTGCTAAGCTGAAAATAAAATGTAGCGAGCAGACACAGAAATGTACGCATACAAATAAAACACAATAATAAAAGTATGAAGTTTTCTCTCCTTTCTACCTAAACATACGTTTTTCCTTGAAATTTAGAAACTACTGTTTTCAAGCTATTATACATTTCTTATATTTAAATTTTTTTGTTAGTTTTTTTTTTTAAAGGGAACTTGTGCAAAATTCACTTTTACCTGTTGTTTAAACAAACGTGTGCTCCTTTTTTTAATCCCCATAAATCTCAGAACAAGCCGTTCGCAGAATCGGACGTCACATTTTACAAGCCCCACCCACGACTGTTGACGGACACTGCCGTATTAGAAGAGACCCCGCCCTGAGTGAGCCGCACACAATCCGCCATGTTTATCTTCACGCTAGAACATTTAAAAGCAGCATTCAAGTAAGAAATGTCTTCTTATTAAATCTATAGATGTTATTCAGTCCAGAGAAGTAAGTGATTTTCTGCTTTTATTTTATTGTTTGGGTCATATTAACAGCATAGACAGCAGTATAGGTACTGTATATCACGCTGCTGTCACTTAATACACAGATTGTGTGTATCTTATGTGTGTTTTTAACATAAACTTATGTGTATTTGACAGTTTAAAGTCCCCATGAAATCAAAATTAAAGTTTTTTGGGTGTTAGTATCAATATGTTAGTCTTAAGGTTATCTATAAGGCAGTGTGCTCCAAAACAGTGACAAAATTCGCATTTAGAAGATATAAGCATTCAAAGCTTGCAGTTCGTCACTTCCGCCAAAACGCAATAATACATGAAAGAGAACTTAGTTAAGTACTCACGCTGTGTGACAGCTTCGGATATGTGCGCTCAGAATACCGTATATCAGAGGTTTAAACTAATATGGCTTTAAATTGCATGATTTCAGCGCAATGAACATGATAATAAAAAAACAAACACATGTTGTTTAGTGGAGTTTCTGAGGCATGAGCTGTAAGGCACAGCCCTATTCTGGAAAAGGGGGTGGGGAGCAGCAGCTCATTTGCATTTAAAGAGACATGCACGAAAATAGCGTGTTTCTGCTTCCACTGAAAATATGCATTTTTAAAATGATATAATAAATGATCTGTGGGGTATTTTGAGCTGAAACTTCACAGACATATTCTGGGGACACCTGAGACTTATATTACATCTTGTAAAAAGGGGCATAATAGGTGCCCTTTAAGTAATTTGGTTATGTGCTTAAGAAATTTTGTTGTGTGCTTTTGTCATTGTCATTTATTTCAGTTTTAGTGATTTAACAATATAACAAGGTTCTTGCTTACCAGGAACTTGCGTTTCTGTTTCCAGTGAGAGCCCTGTGCATTGGTGTGGCGGTGAGCTTCTGTCACCATACGGATCAGCTCCCACTCTGAGCTGGTGGGTTCTGGCCGAGTCTTCAGGGATTTGACCATCTCCTCCTTCTTCCGCTTCTCACGGTTCTCCTCAATCAAGCGCCGCTTCGCAACCCGCTTGGAGTCGTCCAGAACCACTACACCAAGGAGAAAAACGGGTTATTTCTTCCACTGGCGTGATGCACAAATCAACAAATCAATTTCAGTTATGGTCCTCTAAGTGGCTTTTCCATTTCCATTTCACTTTAAAGATGTTTAGACATTTTTCCTGGAAAACAAGAGAAATACTGAATAACAAAATTATTCTGAGGTGCAGAATGGCAGTGACAGAACGAGTAAGAGCATCGGGGAGGGATCAAAGTAGAAACGAGACATCCATAAAACATTATAGAACAGAGGGAGTGACAGAGGAAGAAGAAATGTGGTCTGGGTTGAACATGTGCTGTACATATGTGAGGCATATGGACCTATGTAAGGGAAACTCCAGAGTGAGCACTTCAGTTTGTATAAGATTAATGTACATTCGCTGTCAGCATGCATTTGTATATGTAAGGAGCAGGGCTGTGTTCGTGATCCAGTACGGTGAGGTCCAAGCGTCTGATGTAGAAGCTTCTGTTTTGAGTTATTTTCTAATTTAATAATTTTTCATTACAAATGACAACTGCTGATGATCAGTGAACAGACTGACTTGAGGTCCCCTCATGCGTTTTAATTTGTCTGTGTGCGGTTTTACATGTTCGGTGATTTTGTATGTTATTTGCATGAGCATGTGCGAGGTCACTCACGATCCATGGCCATGCCCACGGCGAGGCATTTCTTGAAGCGGCACAGCTGGCACTGGTTGCGGGTGATCTTGTCGATGATGCAGCAGCCATCGTACTTACAGGAGTAAGAGGGGTGGAGGTTCTTCTGGATGGTGCGCCTGAAGAATCCCTGAGAGACAGAGACAGTGAGGAGGATAAAGAGTGCATTCAGAGGCAGGGAGTCACACAGGTGTTATCTGTCACAAACTGTGCTTCCTGTCCCACATAAGCAAGTGGACTGCAAAAGCCTTTTTGTCCTGTTTTGCTTAAAACAAGGGGGAAAAAAATTGCCAATAATGTAAGAATACAAAATATATATAATACAGTATATATAAAATGCAATTTTTTCATCCAAAAAAGGTTCAAAAAGTGCTAACATTTCAGTAGTCAATAAAAAATATTAGTAAAATTCAGTCTTAATCAGTAAAATTCAATATAACGAAAATGAATATGCGTTTGAATGCATTCCCTTATTCAAAACAAAAATAGAATGCAATACAATAAAAATAAAGCAAACAAACAAACAAACAAACATAAAAAGTAAAAACTATTTTAATCCGTGTATCATTCGTTGCAATAAATGCGTTAAGAATCCGTACAACTGCAACAGCGGAGGACTATTATTCTGCAGTGTGAAAACTGCGGAAGAACTGATGACGGCACGGTTTGATCTTCGGAAATCGAACATTCAAGCTGTTTATTCATTTTTCTATCCCTGAACGAAAAATGAAAATATAAGCTGAATTCATGTTTTTTGGGGGAAAAAAAAAAACTAAAAAGGAGCAGTTTTTTCATTTTTCTACTTTCAATATTAAATCAAAAAACGAATAAACGAATAATACACAGATTTATTTTGGTTCCCAAGTAAATTAGTTTTGTTTTCAGTAGAATGAAAAATGCTAACATTTCAGCAGACATTCAATACCACCGGCAAAAGCTAATAGGCTTTTGAATGCATTCCTAGGGAATTCTTAACAAATTAAATCAAAACAAAACAAAAAATAAAACAAAACCAAACCAAAAAATAATAAAAATAAAATAAAATAAAATAAATCATTAAAAAAAATTATAAAATAAAAAATAAACAGAGCAAATGCAAACATGAGAGCTGAAAAGCAGGTGCTGTCAGTCAACACTTGTTTGTGTACTTAATACTCACTGCTGACAACCCTAGCTTGGTGACATTCCTAACTATAAGGATGCATATCTATATTACTGACAAATAAGACAAAAGTCTGATTAGAAAATGTAACCTTTTTTGCCCCTTTTTTATTGCAGTGATGGAATCTGCAAGCTCTCAAGAGCGCTTCAAATCAGCCTGTTTAGGCAGGAGTCCAAGTCAAAGACTTGCACAGCACAGTTGTCACTCACAATTCACTTTCTTCATGTACAGAGAGACAGACAGTGGATAAGATGGTTGACGCTGTTCTTAGGCTTGTGATTTGACAGAATTGAGAATGATAGGAGTATAAGTTTCACAAATGACAACAGGATGTTTTGTTGAACAGATCAGACCTGCGCCACACCATAACTCTACGTGAGGTGACAGTCTAGTCTGTCTATATATGTGTGGGGCTGAGATGTCTGTTAACACTGTGCACAAGTGATAGCAGAGATGTCACACCTTACAGCCTTCGCAGGTGATGCAGCGGTAGTGATAGCCGGTAGCTTTGTCTCCACACACCACACACGGCTCATCCTTATCCAGATAGCTGGGGATGTACCCTACCATACACAAAAAATCTAATGTTAACTGATAGCAACAAACAAGAACAGACATCAGCAAATCAACACCACAATAAATATTAAATATAAAAAGCTCCTAGCTTCATATGCAAAGTAGCTGTTCGTAATTTCTAGATTGTTTTTTTTTCTGAAGTGTCTGTATATTAACTCAACCAATTATGTTTGGGGGTAGAAATCGGGAAAATGTTAGAAAACATGATTTCAAATTTAGTTTAGAGCTGCAATACTGCAGAAATGTCACACTTCAGACCTATCCGAGTACCTATTTAAGTCTTATTAACTTTGATTGGTGAAAGCCCTGAAGAGCACCGAGTGAGTTTGAGAGTGTCACTTGACAGCATTTAAGATCCGCCAGTGTTTGTGACAGGTCTCTCATCTTAAGCTAGTTAACTGCCTTCATGCAAATTTACGAAGCCCTTTCATAGATAAGAAACAAATTATTAATTGCAATATATGCTATTGCATTCAGGAAGGAGAAATAGTCCACTGCCCACTATTTCACTAAATACTGTATACACAACCTTTCAAAAGTTAGTTTTTTTAAAGTCCCTTATGTTTACTAAGGCTACATTTAATTGAATACAGTAAAGATATAGTAGATAAAGAGTGTAATATTATGAAATATTACTACAATTTAAAATTCTGTTAATTCAGAAATCTCTAATCTACTAATTTGGTGCTACTAATTTACTATTATTAGCAATCTTGAAAACAGCTCAGTTCAAATACTTTAGTTCAAATGGTGATTTAAAAAAAAAAAAAAAAAAAACAGCATTTATTTGAAATAGTACAATTTTGTAACCATATAAATGTCTTTACTAACATTGTTGATCAACTGTATGCATCTTTGCTGGATAAAACTGACCACAAACTTTAGAAAAATAGCTAATAAACTACTGTAAAAAAAAAAAAAAAAAAAAAAAAAAAAAAAAAAAAAACATGTGATTTGTAGGGTTTGAGGGTTTAACTCACTACTGAATAAAAGTGTTTTATTCAGTAAAACTCTTAGAATACATTTAGAATATGAAATCTAATGTTTGATTAATTTTCCAATTCATCCATATCTGTTTTTAAATCAGTACAGGACAGTTTATTTTATTTTATTTTATTTTGTCTAAAATATAAAAAAGTTCCAGTTTTTACAAAGCTGAACCTAGCTATTTAGTTTTCACCATTCTGAAAACTAAAATAGGCGAAAAGAAAATGAAAAATGTTTCATTAACATCTGCAAAGGTTACCAGCAGGTGGTGCAAAAATGGGCTAAATAAAAATTCTGACTATGTAAAGTAATGTAAAGTATGGCATTTTTATTGGGATACGTTTAATAGACTTGTTTTAAGCTATCATTCTTTTTTAACAACATACCCTTTGTGAAAAATGAAACACTAAACAGCAGTGTAGGTTAGTGTGCAATGGCAAATCTTGCTTCAGCGTCTTTCTTTCCCAAGTGAATTATGCGACAGCACCAGTATTGGAAAACTAAAAGGTTAGAGACAATTTTGGGACTAATCTAGTTTATTTAACTGCTGTGGGCATGAGGTGAACGAGCATAAAAATGCAGCTACTGGAGGCCTGATGGGTCTTAACCAAGCAGAGATGGGGTGAGTAAATGTATTGAACTTCCTCAACTGAACATCCTCTCCTTACACCAATACAAAATTAATTCTTAAACACCCCTTTAGCCTGGGAGAGTGATTGCTTTAACATGAGTTATGATATCCTAAAGGAGGATCACCAGAACATCACATAACAACAAATCTATTGAGCTAACTGATGCTGGAGTTGATGTGAGGAGGATCACAGGGCAACTGAAAACCCTTCTCTCCCTCTAGGACTCTCGTGTGTTTCTCAGAAATGTGCAGTCAGTGATGCATTCTGGGAGGACAGAGGAGTGATAAGCATACTGCTGCAGCTCGGCAAGAGCATCTGTGTCTTCTGTGAGACATCTTACCAGACATGCTCTTCACCGAACACTGGCTGTTCTTTCTCTTCCTTTTCGGGCCATCGAGCCACCTGGAAAAAAAGAGCAGAGAGACAGAGAGAAAGAGGTTGGTATTAGTACATTCCACAAAGATGGCACACAGGAAGTCTTTGTGGTGATTTGATGTCTGCAATTCCCTGTGGTATCACTTTATATTTTTAACCAGCACACATTCAGCTCCAAGTGCTCCAACAACATGACAACCCTGTCATTTTGATTTGATGGAGTGAGGATCACAAAAAAGAAGATCGCAAATACAGGCAACCGTCAGAGCCACGATGCACGTGTTCCTGACACGTTCATGTCCCGACTGCAAAAGGACCGAACCCATTCCACTTCTCTCTTTTCAATAATTTCCTGCAACTTTCTAATTTATTTTAACATACCAGACGACATACATCAGGTGACTATAATTAATCAATCAACTCACAGACTCCACTTTAACATCAAAAACTACAAAGATAGGCATTGTCGATGTTTTATTTAAAGACATGTTACCTTTGGGTTTAAATAAGGATTTTGACCATTGATGTTTTTTGTAATTTTTTGGGGGGTACAATGATTATGAACAGCATTTTTTGCCTGATGTGCTATTGTTCCCATTAATTAGTTTTAATATACATTCATTTTAAAATACCGAAATATTAAATATTAATATGAACATACCTAAATTAAATGATAAAGGCACAAAGCACAAGAACAAAAACAGTGATTTAGCATATTGCGAAAAAGCAACCGGATGCTGTCGATTTCCAATAATTCCCAATAATAATAATTATTAAAATAAAAAGATTTTTAAAATGTTAGTCTTTAAAAAGACTCTTCCCTAATATTAAAAATGTCAATCATTACAAAAATTACCAATAATAATAATAATAATAATAAAACACCAAACAATCTCAAAACAACAATGATTTAACCACTATAAAGCATCATGAAATCATCTTCAATGTGATTTTGACAATTTAAAAAAATTAAAAATAATAAAAGTCTTAAAAGGGCTTATGAATATTTTATAAAGAAGTCTTACTCTTCATTAAGTAATAATAACAAAATAAGGTTTAAAAATTGTACAATAATATTTTAATTATATAATTATTTTCTTTGAGTAATACCCAAAACAAAACAAAAAAACCTATAAAAACCAAAACAAAACAAAACAAAACTCAAAACTAAACAACACAAAAAAACAACTAAAAACACAAAACACAAAACAAAACAAAACAAAAAACATTAACAGTGATTAAGTGATTAGAAATGAAAAATCTCTGGAAGTAAAAATGATGCATTGTTAAGACCCCATTTTAAAATGACATCTGATTTTTTTTTTTATAGCAATATATCCCACTTCTGATCAACTTCTCAAAAATGGACAAAACTTCTATGTCCAGTTTTGCAGCCCACCAATAACATCAGGTCATCCAGCAGTAGGAACACCCATTCCGACTGAAGAGGCAAGAACATTGACACAGACTTTCAGCACTAAAATAACTGAACATCATTAATTAAACAGAGAGTTGCTGATCTAACAAAGATGAGCAGGGCAAATGAGCAGTGATGCAATGCGGCAACTACCAATGAGACAGCAGACAGTGACCCGAATTGTACAGCCGGACATCGTGGTTTAACAATACAGCCACTCTATGACCTCCAGCAACATATACGTGTGAACGTCACAGTCTCCGGGTACATCGAGTCTGGCTGTGATTAAAGGGCTGGAGTGGCTCAGCTCTATGCTGGGAGAAAGACAGCAGAGTTATGTAACAAAGTGTCCAAATAATGCAAGCAAATCTGTTAGCATTCGGTGCTAGTCTCTCAACATCTCTTCAACACCTTTGCCGTCACTAACGCTAATGCTAGACTCTTTAAATATACATCAAAAAGAGTTTGATTTCTAAACGGCGAGCTGTTTTAACTCCACATGATACAAATAGGAGTGTATTAGCAAGATCATGAGCTGGATTTTGAAAGGCATAAAAATTTATTTAAACATCAAAAGCTGTAGAGGTAGACATCTTTCAGGTTACATAACAGCTCCTGTTATGCTTACAAAAATACTGTGGAGGGATAGCATCAGGTAATACAATAATACTGTAGTACTTTGATATACAGCCTCAGTTCATGTATTTATGTGCTATTCTAAGAATCCCAATGGTACTTTTTGTTAGTGTCTCGAGTTTTCCCTTTTCTCATTTGATAGAATCTTCTGGAAACTACCAAGAGAACACAAAACAAGGTTCATGTGATGTGCTCCCTTAAGCCATCATGATGTCACACACATAAACACAAAGAAGGCCATCTTTGTTCAAAGCCATAGGGAAAAAAATATAAAAGGTTCAAAGTCTAATACTGGCTTGTGTTCTTTCGCTCGTCATATTGTTTTTGTCATTTGCTGTATTGATTCTGCAGCTGTGGAACGTCATTTATGAATGTCATTTAATATGTCTGACTGAGGTTCAGTGAGGACGCAGAAGCCTCTAGACTTTTTTCTCTTTCGTTCTCTCGGGCACACGGAAATGTCACTCTAAAGCTGCGTTGTCTTCGTCACAATCACTCTGATTTGCTGTCGTGGATGGTTTTACCAATACAACTGTCAATCATCTGCTGTCCTCATGAGAACCTGCTCGTCACAAAGAAAGCATTGCAGATTTCACATTTCAGACAGGCAACACACCTCAAGTAATCAATACTGAATACAAGATTCATTTAATCCCAATTCCATCACGGCAAAAGCAATGTGCAAATATCCCTTGAGAAAATAAACATATACAGTGCCACAGAAAGATGGGCAGACAGAGGCATAAAGAAACATAAAGCAGCAAGGGCTTTTTTTTTTCACTCTGACACTTACTATAAAAAGAAACCTCAGAGGATTCTGCCTAGTCAGAAATGGATGGGAGGGGTAAATCAAATAAATAAATAAATAACAGCCACTTGCTCTCTGCAGAAACATCAATTACTCCGGATCCAAATGGAAGAGCTACACAACTTTCCCATTAAAGGGACAGAGGACAACCGCTGTAACATCTGAGAGGACAGGTTGCAGTTTGCACAGTAATACTGTGATACGAGCCGGGACTGAGCTTCTATCATTTTGCGCACAGAGCGACGAACAACCGGATCATAATCGGTCCGATCTGATGATACTAAAACAGATTCTCATTAAATTCTCAGATGGCAGCAGCATACATGATTCAGAAGTATAAGAAATCTGCACGTTGAGATAGAATCAGTCGACCGATGCAGCACAGAAGTTCCCAAAAAAAGACGTCCACAGACAGGAACCTGAGGGTTTTGAAGTAGACTGTGAAGAGACCCATTCTGGGTTTTCCATACTTTTTACCAATGAATTACCATCGGTAAAGTCTTTTTATGATTTTTCCATTCATGCTCATGTTTAATAATATTAATAGTAGTAATAACAGTACTAAACTACTACTATTATTAATACTACTAATAACATTGCAAATGATAAAAATAACAACAATAAAAAACTACTACCAATACTAATGATAACATTACAAATAATACTAATAATAAATTACTACTACTACCAATTATAATAACAAAAATGTTATAACAATAAAATAATATTATAATTAATAATATTATAATAATAATACAAATAACTTAACAAGTAATTTTAACAATATAACTAATATTATAAAAAATATTATGATTTACAATGCATTTATAGAGATTGCACAGATTTCTAGTTGATGAAATAATTTAAATCTTAGCAAAAATTGAAAAATGTATTCCATATAGAAATTTTATGCATTGATTTAGAATGCTTTCTCTAAATTGATTTCCCTAAATTTTCCTGGTTGAGAGATCACAATTTCAAATATTAGCAATCTTTCCATGATCGTGGTAACCTTGTTAACACCGTTAGGAGAGCAACGTGACTAGGCTTGTAGAGCGATACAGGTAGGAGAAGCGTCTCACCTGATAACGCAGTGCGATTGGAGGATGTGCATGGTGAAGACGAAACGCTCCGCTGTTCTTCAGGATTATAACTCTTCACCACATCAACGGAGCGAGCCGTATAAACACACTCTGACTGAATTCTCTTTGATGCCTCTCTTGCATAAGTGCTCTCTCTCTCTCTCTTGCTGTCGTTTGGCAACCCTCCCTCTCTTTTTTCCCCTCTGCCCGCTGTCTCTCTAACTCTGAATTTCCCAACTGTTCTTTACGAATTTTTCTAAGAATCCCTTGTGAGAGATTGTCTCTCTTGCTCTTAATCCCTTCCGTGGTCTGTGATTGGGTGTTGTGATCTCTCTCGCGGGCGGTAATCCAGGGTTAAGAGCGAGAGATGGTGAGATTGGGTGAGCGTTGTGATAAAGCAGGAGAGATGGAGCCTGAGATATGCCAGTGCCCATAAACATGCCAACTGGTTCTGTCACCTCCGGTTATTTTAACCTTTATTTACTCCGTACCCCTGTGGCGTATTTATATCCAGCGAGGTTTCATTCATCCTCTAAAACAAGGCAAACACAGTACAAGCAGTGACAGTGGGTTAATTCAGGGGAATAATATAAATAAATAAAATGACGGAGGGAGTTTGGGGAAAAAAAGAACCATCACATTACACTACCAAAGTTTGAGAGCTCAAAACTTCACCCTGAATTTAGATGCACAGAGGTACATTATTGTTCAACATTTTGGGTTAAGATTAGAAATATATATATATATATATATATAAATATATTTTAAAATCTCTTGTACGCACATCTAGGCTGTATTTATGTTATTAAAAAAATACAAGATTTACAACGTAAAATAACTGTTTTCTAATTTAATACATTTTAAAATGTATTCTTGTGATGGCAAAGCCATTACTCCAGTCTTCAATGTCACATCTTCTAAAATGCTGATTTGGTGTTCAAGAAACATTTCTCATTATCATCAGTGTTGTTGTGCTGTTTAATACTTTAGTACTTTTCAGGATTTTTTGATGAATAGAAAGTTATAAATCTCTTTACTGTCACCTTCGATCCATTTAATGAACCCTTGCTGAAAAGAAGTATAC